GGGGGGGGGGGTCCAGCCCTTGGTTCACTCGGGAGAGTGTGGTGCTGATAACACCAAGGACACGAGTTCAGATCCCTATATAGGGATGGCTGGTTGGCTCACATGGGAGAGTGTGGTGCTGACAACACCAAGACAAGGGTTAAGATCCCCTTACTGGTCATCTTTAAAAAAAAAAAAAAGAAAAGAAAAAGCACCTGGAAACCACAGCAGTGAAGTCTTCTCAGGTGGTAACATTTGAGCTGAGAATCAAAGAGTTAGTGTTAGCTAGAAGGAGCAAGGTAGAGGAGTGAACAGTCTCCAGGTGGAGGGAACAGCACCTGCAAAAGCTCTGAGGTGGTGAGGAGCATGATCCTGACAGAGCTGAAGAAGTCTGAATCACTTTATTCACTGCCCCATCATTGAGCCCAGTGCCAGGCATGTAGCAGACATGAGGGAATGTTTGCTAAGAGGAGACTGATGAATCCTAAGCTGCAGTATGGGATCTGCCAGATGAGCCTTCTGTGGGTTCTGATGCCACTACCATTAACTTCTCTACACAGTCCATGAGTCTTTTACTCCCTCTTATGTTGATAAGTGTTTGACCAGCTCAAAGAGTCTTCACCCTGAAGGAAATTTATTTTCTCACCAATTTTTTATATTTTAGTCGTTCATGAAATGCTGAAGTCTGGAGTCACCAAGTCTGCTGTCACTCTGGCGTGCCTGTGCCCTGAGGATTGAATATTTCCTCTCATGTCCGCCTCTCATCTCCATAGCCCACTCGGTCTGAGTCTGCTGGCCCCACACAGCATGTATGCAGTTCCCTCCTTAGTGTAGCACTTGGGAGACTCGCAGTGCTCAATCCCTTCTGCTAATGAGCTATGTGTTCTTGGGTTAGTTACTGAAACCCTCTGTTCCTCAATTTTCTCATGGGCAAATGGGGCAATGTAGTATCAATTTCAAGGGCTGTTTTGAGGAAAAAAGGCTCAGAACAATCCCTGGTAATGTCTGGCTGTGTGCAGGTTAGCAATTGTAACCGCTGCAACTGTCACTACTGTTACTGATGTCATCACGATCATCATCATCACAGTTGGACTTGGCATTTTCTGGAACAATGCTCTGTACTTCTATGGTTGAAATGGCCAAATGCTACAGATGACTAGACTCAAGTTTCCCTCTTGGCTTGGCCATTCATCATTTCCAGGGTTTTGTCAAATCACTTTTTCTGCCTGAACCTCAGTTTCTTCATCTGTAAAACAGTGTTGATTGGGGATGGCTGGTTAGCTCAGTTGTTTAGAGCGCAGCCTTATAACACCAAGGTCATGAGTTCAGATTCCCATATTGGCCAGCTGCCAAAAAAAGAAAAAAGATTGTTTAAAAAAAAAAACAGTGCTGATCATTGTGCATACTTAATGTGGATGCAGTAAGGAAATCCTAAAATAGAATTTTTCATGCAGGACCCCCAGGAATAGAATTATAACATTTTGCTTGGGACCTAAAAAAGAATTACACGAATGAAGACACCTTCTTCCTGAATGGAAAGACTCAATATTTTCAGCACCACGCTCAGCCAGTGAGCAACCGGCCATCCCTATATAGGATCCGAACCCGTGGCCTTGGTGTTATCAGCACCGCACTCTACTGAGTGAGCCACAGGCCGGCCTAAGACTCAATATTTTAAGCATTATTTCTCCTCTAGGCTGGCCAGTTAGCTCAGTCGGTTAGACTGTAGGTAACATCAAGTTCCACAGTTCAATCTCTGTACTGGCCAGCTGCCAAAAAAATCAATAAATGTTATTTCTTTTCTAAATACATACATGCATTTAATTCACTTTTTACAAAATGTAATGCATTTAAACTGCTTGGCACACTCCCTGGGATATGGTTACACTGTGTAAATATTAGGGGTTTTTTTGTTGTTGTTGTTTTGTTTTTTTTAAAAANAACACCAAGACAAGGGTTAAGATCCCCTTACTGGTCATCTTTAAAAAAAAAAAAAAGAAAAGAAAAAGCACCTGGAAACCACAGCAGTGAAGTCTTCTCAGGTGGTAATATTTGAGCTGAGAATCAAAGAGTTAGTGTTAGCTAGAAGGAGCGAGGTAGAGGAGTGAACAGTCTCCAGGTGGAGGGAACAGCACCTGCAAAAGCTCTGAGGTGGTGAGGAGCATGATCCTGACAGAGCTGAAGAAGTCTGAATCACTTTATTCACTGCCCCATCATTGAGCCCAGTGCCAGGCATGTAGCAGACATGAGGGAATGTTTGCTAAGAGGAGACTGATGAATCCTAAGCTGCAGTATGGGATCTGCCAGATGAGCCTTCTGTGGGTTCTGATGCCACTACCATTAACTTCTCTACACAGTCCATGAGTCTTTTACTCCCTCTTATGTTGATAAGTGTTTGACCAGCTCAAAGAGTCTTCACCCTGAAGGAAATTTATTTTCTCACCTAATGAGACGCTCCGTGGTGGAGCTGGCTTCCATGTTGGTGGATGCCAACCCAGTTGTCTGTTTCTTTGCCTTTTCTCCTTGGTCCAGGTCTGTAGGCAGGTCCCTCACAGAAGTCCGAGGATGCTTCAGGACAACAGGAGTGCAGACCCCCCTCATTCAGTCCTTCCTGGAATAAAGGCTTTCTCTTTACTTGGAGTGGCTGATGTAGGTCATCTGCCTACTCAGACTACTGATGTCCAACACAACAGGAGTGCAGACCCCCCTCATTCAGTCCTTCCTGGAATAAAGTCTTTCTCTTTACTTGGAGTGGCTGATGTAGGTCATCTGCCTACTCAGACTACTGATGTCCAAGGATGCCATTTGCAAGATGATGGAGACCAGGGCTTTTCCACCTGCTATGGTGGCTACAGTCACCTGGGGAGTTTTTAAAATCTACTGATGCAAAGGTCTTACCCTCAGAGATTTTGTTTCAATTGGTCTGCACTGGCAAGTACGCATTCCAGATGTTATCAATTAGAAGGGAGGTTAAGACCCTGTGACCTGGATTAATTAGAAAATACTTTCAGGAAATATATTTGAAAAGTGTTGACATTTCATAGGATGAAGATCAAAGTGAATTGGAGCTATCTACACTGCCAGCTCTACTGTCTTACAGTCTATGTGGCTTTTTCTGTAGTTGGTTTCCAGGTCGCAGTTTAGTGTTTTGCTGACTTGTAGCTTCATTTCGAGGTCTTGCTCCCATCCTGAAGACCCAACTAGATTGAGAAATTTCTTTGTTTTCACCAAAATCCTTGTGTTCTCTTTCCTTCTTCATGCACAGGCTATCCTTTGTCCAAACCAGAGCTGATCTACCAGCTGGGGCATAGGCAGGAGTTATGCACAGTGAAGAAAGACCTCTCCCTAAGCTCCTGTTCAGGTAGGTGCCAACAGCTGAGAAGGTGGGATTCATGGCAGCTTGAAGACCGACAGTTGACCACTGCCTCTGATTTTCATGGGAATGTTCTTGTGGTTTCTCTGGGGGCTTGGGATCTGCAGAGCCAGTTAATTTGTGGCCCCTCTGCCCTCCACCACCTCAGCCCCATCACACTCTTCACCATTCCTGGAGAGGTGTGAGGTATATTACATAAGTGCAGGCTCTCAGCTTTAACTGCTTGGGCTTAACAACGAGCTTTGACACAAAATAGCCTTGTGACCTTGGGGAAGTTTCATGATTTCACTGTGACTTTGTACATAAATTTGGCTAAGTTAAAGGGTATACTCCAAAATCTTGGTAGCTCAGAATATGAAAACTATTTTACTCACACCAAGGAACATGAAGGTTGGTATGCTATACCACACAGTTTATCACGAACCCAGATACCTTCTATCATTGAGAGGGGGTAAGGCTTCCCTGTCATCCTCCAGCTGGCAGAGGGGAAATGAGAGAAGGGAAGATGGAACACCCACTTCCACACACATGCCTTCCCCTCACTTTCCACTCACAAGACACTGGGCCACACTTGGGTACATGGGGCTAGGAAATGTGGCTGAGCTGTGTACCCAAGGACAAGAGCAAGTGGTTTGGTGAACATCTACTCAGTCCCCTGCATTCATTCTCTTTCTAAGGAATTGTCGCAATAATAGCTTGTATGTCATTTGTGGTTTTTGAGAATGTGATAGATTATGCACAAAACTGTTTCACACTCTGCTTGAGCCATGGTGGCTCATGGAAAGAAAGCTATGAGCATTATGCTTGCTATGTTATTAGTCCCATTAGATAATAACAATATCTCACATTTATTTCTGAACGTGAGGAAGCAAGGCTTTTCTCCCCTTCTCCACCCACCCATCTTCTGAGCAGCAATCAGACACTCAGAAGTGGTCCCTTGCCTTAAGCCTTCTTGTTCCTCTTGTTTTGTAGATCCTCCAGGTGACATTTGGCCTTCTCTGCCATGCATCTGGGCTGCTCAGGACACTGGGGCCATCATGTGTGTTGATTGTGGCCATCACGGAGTCATGGTTTCTCCCCTCTGGTGGTCCCTTGGGCTATTCAGCCAGCCTGTCATTGTGTCTTTCCAACCCACTTCAGCCCCTCAGAGTCTGTTTTGAACCTTTACCCTTGACCCAATCTCATGTCTCCTGTGAATGTGGAAAACACATCTCAAACTGAGCATGCCCCAGAAGGAGCTCGTGATGTTGCCCACTTCTCCCACCTCCCAAGTGTCAGTGAATGGTCATGAAATCCAAGCAGGCTAGAAGACTGGATGCCGCCTCAGACAACTCCTTAACCCCTTCATGTTCGTCATTCCTGCATTCACACATCTCCAAATGCTGTGCATTTTCCATCATGCACGTCTCTTGACTCCATCACCTCCACATCAGACCTGTCCTCACATTCTTAGTCTGAGTTAGCCTCTTTTGCCTGGGTGATGCCAACACATTCCCAGCTGGTCTCTCTCTATCTCTTGTCATCTGCTCTGTTTCCTCCACCAGATCCTTCAGCCACTCAGACCTTGTTCCAAACATTC